ACTTCAACCCCCAGCTCACCCCAGCCTGGCACCTCTGACCCCCCGGTGCCAAAATTCTTAGTTATGCTTTTGGGTGAGCACATGGCTATGGGAACTTACAGCAGAGCAGCTGACACATAGTAAAACCCTGCCCACCTCTGCCTCATGGCAAATTATCTGTGCCCTAAGAATAGGAGAATTGTGAGATTTCACCCCAAAGCAAGTAAAAGCAGGGGGTCTAACCCCTGATGAGGGATGTGTTCAAAGAGAATGGTACAGCTGGCTCCCTGTTCTTTACAGTGAGTCATGTACATTGAGGTCTGTGAATAAGAACACTGTGAGTGCTGCCAAATAATAAATAGTCATCATCACACCTACTGTTTGGCATCATTAACATTCATTCATCTAATGAGTCCACCACTTACATTTACAGTAGTCACATAGCCCTGAAGATAGTCCCAAACTCATGACACTGAATGGAGAGCAGATGGCAATGACTTTCAGTCAAGTTTTTCCTAGGGGCAGATTAGAACCAATAACCTAGATATGAAAAAGTCCCTCTGTCGTCTTCCTCTGCCTCCTGTTCTTTGTCTGAGTGGCATCACAGAGGGAAAGGAAGAGCCAGTCAACCACAAAAAACCCAGCTTCTGGTAATGAAATACTATTTAATCATCCTGTAATACATCTAGAGTGTCTGTCTCCTTCCATTCAGCAAAGGCCTGCCCTTACTGAAGCCAGAGGCAAAATTCCCATTTAAATGAAGTCCCCCATACACTGCCTTGGCAGCTTTCATGCTCTTGAAGGCCCTTTCTGCTGACAAGATAGCTAAAAGGCCTCAGTCTGTAAATGAGAATGAGGCCCCTTGATTTCACAGTCACAGGATTTAGCCCCACATACACTAATCTCCATCCCTGGGAAACTAAAGGGCTGCTATCAAAGCAAAATATCCATGCATCCTGCAGGCCTTACTATTCAAACAGAGAGGTATTATAGTAATAGTAATTCAAAGAGAGAGATGGTATATGTAACATTGTCTTTACTTGTCCATGCATTAGAAAAATAACCCCCAGGTCTCAGGATTTCAAAGTAGCTGTTTATTCCACATAATCATCGTGCAGTCTACACTGCAGGTCACTCCAGTCCAAGCCAGTGCCTATCAACATTGAATAGTCATAAGTGCAGTAATTTTTTTTTCTCCACCAACTAAGGACAGGGGCATTACAAGTGGGAAAGAGAAACTTATTCCACCTCCTTGAGCCTGCTCCCCAAGCTCCCCAAAGTCAGCCTTCTTTAGCTGTGCCCTCCACAGAATTCAGCTGTTCCGAGGCTGGACAGAAACCCATCTCCCCAGCCTGTGGTGAATTTAGGGCAGAGCATATTGGAGCCTCAGTGAAGATACAGACACCAGAAATAAAGGCAACTTACTAGGGCATTGTTCCCCAGTCCACCACTCCTGCTCTAGGCTTGCTCTTTGTTCTCTCATCTAGCCTAGGTTTAAAGGGCTCTGACAATAGATAGCCTGCAGTCAGTGAATCCCACCACCCACTTCGGGAGGATATTCCACAGGAACGCTGAGAGTGCTCTCCAGTCTGGGGCCTGGGATCATGAGCTTCTAATTCCCTCTCAGCCCCCAGGGCCCACGTGTGTGTCGAGGAGCCCTGCCCCACCCACTCTGTCCCCTCTGATGCCTGGGGATTAGACTGTGACATTCATATTGCCCAGAGAGCGACAGCCTGTGAACGGCAAGGGCCGAGCCAGTTACAAAGCAGCTTGCATTTTTTTCCCACCCCTGGACCAGCTGGGATCATTTCCTTCCTTTGGAGCAGCCTCTGTGACCACTCTTCAGCATCACCGCCGCAACCACCCCTGCTCTCTCCTTCACACCAGATTTAGCCATTGAAAGAGAAAGGCATGAACGAAATGTTTTTCCCTTCTTCCCCAGCCCCCAAAGCCTGCATGCAGAGTGCCCATGGTGCCCATGGTGGTGTATGGGTGCGTGGTGGTGTATGGGTGGTGTGTGCGAGGTTGCACCATCAGGGTATCCCTCCAGCATCTCTGAGCCCTGCCAGAACCACGCGAGCATCCGCATGAACCACCTACCTTTGAACATGAATCTTTCTTTGTCTTTGAATCTGCTCCTGAGGGGTGGGATTTCCCCCCCACTTTTTATCCTGACACCGATGCAGCCTGGCTGGCTAAGAGGCTCTGCTTTTCTCTCTCTCTTTCTCCTTCTCTCTCTTTTTTTACCTCTCCTCCACTGGATATTTCAGATATGCAAGGATGCTTCTGCTGCCGCTGCTGCCATGGTCATGTGACCTGAATATTAAACATCCCTGCAAAATCTCCCCTACGCTCTGCCTCCCTCCTTTCCTAGGATCTAGGACTTCAGCCCAGCTGCTGAGAGACCTTCCCTGGATTGGTGGGCACGAGAGTGGGGAAGGGAGGTGCTGTAATGAATGGGCTAGACATGCCCTGAAAATGCTTCCCCCACACCCATTTTCCCTCCCTCTTCTCCTCCCTATTCCCAAGCGATTCTCATATGCTTCTGCCTGCAGAGCATCTCTAGACATAGCCAGTTGTTTATTCAGAGAGATGTTTAACCCTTTCCCAGGCTGCTGGAGGGCTGTGCTAAGAAAGTACTAAGAATAGGCAGGGAATCCTGTAGGGGATCTCAGTCCCAAGGCTAGATTCTGGCCTCACTGACACAGCAGAAAATCAGAAGCAATTCAGCTGAAGCCAATCAGGTATCCCAGCCTGGGGATTTTGTCCTTGGGCACCACCACTCCAGGGTATCTGGTTGCTATCCATGCTGGCCAGACACAGAAGCAGAGTGTGAGCCCGCATCCCAGGATGTGAGTATGGAGGGCAATGGAGAGGCAGAGTCTGCAGGCTAATGCCTGTGTGTCAGCATGGGCAAGGAGATCTGTGTCTTTGTGTCACTGTGCATACAGTATGTCTCTGTGTGTGCCTGTAGGCATCTGTGTCTGTCTGTGCCTTTGTGCATGTGTCAAGACGAGCCTGCCTGTGTCTGCAGATGAGTATTGAGGTAGATGGATCTAACATGCATCTCTGTGGGGGTTGCTGGGCTGGATTCTGGCTTGCCTTCTTCCTGCGAAAAGCTGGTCTGATTTTTTGACTCTGTGCTGCTCCAGTGGTGGGGACAAAAGGCATCTGAATGGGCAAAACTGACTCCTCAGGGAAATCCTCTCCCATCTGGTGTAGGGTCCTCACCTGCCTGACACAGAGCAGCCACTCCTCCTCACAGTCTCTGATGCAGAGAAGTGCTGGGGGCAGAGACGAGGTGGGAGGGAGGACACCACTTTCCTGCTTTTCCAGGCTGCAGTGCCATAGAAGGGCCTGTGAGCTTCTGTCACTTATACCAGGGAAACATCAGGTCCTTGGGCAGCAGAGACTAGGGGGTGCTGAAAGGGCTTATCACTGTGACCCTGTGTCTAGCACAGGGAGGAAGGAGCAGAGAGCAGGGGACAGCTGGCACAAGGCGGGGTGTAGAGTGCTGCTAAATCAGAGTGGCAGCACTTCGCATGGATTTTCCACGAGGGTAAGCAGCTGCCCATGAATCTGGCCTCTTACGTCTGCCTGACATCAGAGTGAATTTAGGGGCTAACTACAAATCGGATCTCAAATTTCTGCTTCTAGCACATGATGTCCGCCCATCTGTCTGAGCATTTATACTACACTTGGCAGCATGCTACCTTGGCCCCACAAACAGGATTAAGGAAATTAATTTCTGCCTGACAGGGCTACGCCCTCCGTTCCTCCCATGATATCTGCCACTCTCAGGGGTGGGATTATTCCACTGTTTATTGCCTAGGGGAAGTTCTGCCAGGCTGCTGTGGCATCACCATCCCTGCAGGAAGGGCCTGCTCAGAGACATCAATTTGAAACCTGGCCATAAATGCTTTTTCTGATATCTGGTGGCCAGGAATTCCCCAGGAAGGGGCTTTCCTCTGAAAGTGCCCAGGCCCCAGTTGCTGAGAGATTCATCCTTGGTTTCATCAAGCACAGGTGCCATGATGAAGGAGAGGTGCCTGAGATAGCTGGAGCATTGCCCTCAATTAGTTATTCCTCTGTTTGTCACACAATCACCTAAAAAGCATCAGCTACCTTTTCTGTTCAAGTTATCAACACACAATCAAAAAAAAGTTTGCCCATCCCTGCTGTGACATCCCAGCATGCACCAGGGATGGAATCCCCTTGGAGGAAGGCCAGCCCAGGGGTGGTCATCAAGTGCTAGCAGATTTATTTCTTGATAAGGCTTAAAAAACCCCTCTTATTTTTCAAGTCATTATTGTATCTACTTTATATTGAGGGGAAAAATATAAATTGCTTATAAATGAATACTGGATGTGTTATGAAACGGTTAATCAATAGCTCTTGCATCTAACAGGATACTAGATCTCTCTGTGGTAGGTAAGGAGGTATACCATGGGCAGATCAGGTCCCTGAGCAGTCTCAGAGACTAAGGGGTGTTGAGAGAGCATATCGCTGTGACCCTATAACTAGCACTGAGAGGGAGGAGCAGAGAACTGGAGCCAGGTGACATCTAAGAAGCATCAACTGCATGTTATAGATAGGCAGGCAGCTATCTGTAACATTTTTTTTTCATGTACTGTTTCTCATATTATTTATACCAGTAATATGTTTACCTCTTTTGATCCTTCATTAGCCCTTTAGGTACTATGTATAAATGTACCATTAATATTATGAAATGTGATAAAAAAAATCAAAGGAAGGAAAATCATCCAGAAGAATCTGACAAAGAAAAAGCCAACTGGCCCCATGCTGGCAGTATTTCTTGCTCCAGCAGGATTGTGTGGTAGCTGGGACATCAATATGCAAAACATTACGAAGTCAGGATATGATTCCATGAACTGTGAACATGTCAAACAGTTCTCTCTTCCCTTTTATTTCCTTCATATGTCCCCATGTTTCAAGAAAAGCCCCCTCACCCCACTCTCCCTCCAAACCCAACTGAATCTAGTTCCCCTCTTTGGACTTACATGCTGACCCAGCTGTGCCCATAACACTAGGCATTGTGGCATCTGCTGCAGAGAGCTGCCCCCTCAGAGCCTTCCTCTCTGAACACAACTTAAAAACAGGGCTTGGCATCCTCTCTCTGTCAGCAAGCCCTGGGGGAGCGTCTGTGCTGTGGTGGTCACTGTACTGATTGGCAGTCGCATGGTCCTCTTTATCCACTTCTGTCATGGATGGGTCCATGGGATGTGGCACAGGAGGAAGCGGAGAAATAGGGGCCAAGCATCTCCGAAAGCGTGGGCCAGAGTGTAGCAAAGTGGTGGGCACCTCTGAGCCTGGTGCTAGGGCACTGTTTTGCCTGATGTCCGTTCTCATCTCCATGCAGCCAAGGGGCATCCGCTGGGGCAGTGTTGGTAACCCTGGCAGTGGCTGCAGACATGGCAAAGGCACCTCCCCTCTTCCTAGTGCTTCCTTCCCCAGCGGAGCCCGGAGCTCCCTCCTCACTGTGCCTGGTGAGAGGAGACGCCGGTCAGGTGGAGGGTCACAGCTGCTGCGGCGGAGCGTTAGTGAGATAGCACTCAGTTTCCTGGGTGCCAAACCATTGGCTGCTGTCCATGGTTGGGATTTGGGGACAGCAGGGAGAGGGCACGGGATGGGCAGCTCCGCTCTGCTCAGCTCCTTGGAGCTTCCAACCCTGCAGCTGGGCTTGGTGCTTGGTCTCCCCTTCACAAGGGGGATCTGCCGGGTGGCATCCTGGCTGGAAGAGTCCAGGCGGATTTCTTTCCTCAGCACAGGACTGAGAAGCACCAGTCCCCCACTTCCCATGGGCCGGACAGGCAACCCTGGGATGCGACTGGGGCTGGGAGCAGCTCCCAGAGTGGGATTATATTTGCGGACCCTGTGAGGGGAAGAAGCCAAGTCCTTGTCCATCCCAAACTCTTGGTACTTCTATTTTTCCTAGAGAAACAAATTCAAAGGAAGCATCAGTCTCCATCTGCACAGCAGAGCAGATTAATGCTACTGGCAAGGCCTGCACTGGCTGGACCGAATAGGCAAGGTCATAACTGGTTCCTCCACATACTGCCCTCTACCAGGATACCTCAACCCTGCCTTGAAGAATGACAACTACAGGGGCTGTCAACCAATCTGCTTCTGGGCATATACTAAGCAGCAGCTAGGGTCAGGAAGAAATTCCCCCAAGCCCACCAGAATTATCCAGCAGTGTTCTTCGGGGTTACTTTGCCTTTCTCTGTAGTATCTCCCGAGGATACTGAACTAGCTGGCCAGAGCAAGGGCAGCCTCAGATGTAAAGTCCTGAACAGCTCAAGGAAGTCTCAGATTTCCCCTGCCCTTTGGCCTCTTGATGCAGCTCTCAGAAGAGAATTGTACAATGAAGGAGAAAGGTAAGAGCTTACCTGGCTCTTGGAGAGCAGTGACTGTGATGGCGGCTTGTCAGGTCTATTCCACGTTTACAAGAGGCAGCAGTCTATCCACAAATCTCCCACAGACTGTTGGTTCCAGATGGGAGGCTTTAACTACATCAGCACCTGCTGGGAGCACTGACCAGAAGGCAGCCAGGCCTCCTGGCTTCCTCTCTATCCAAAGAAGGCACAGAGAAGGGTCCAGACCCTTTCCATTTTCTACCCATCCCTCCTGATGTCTGTGCCTTCTCCTTGTCTCTCCTCATTCTAGGAGATTTTTCCCAGCTTTGTTCAGGGCAAAAGTGGGAGCAAGAGACTTGGAGAGCTCCAGACAGACACAGCTGGCCCCAGCAGCCAGAGGGAGTGGGCAGGGAGTGAATGAGAACAGTCATGAACTGCCAGGCTAGGAAATGAAAAACAAGGACAAGGGAATCAAAAGGGCTTTGGGTCACATGAGAATATTAGTGACTGGCATTTCCACAGAGCATCTTTCAGCTACAGGCTACAAAGCATTTTACAGACCAGCTTCATAAGGCTGGCTCAGCCACTAACTGCAACCACTTCTGGGGTGTAGCAGTTAAAATACATTGAAACAGGAAGAGGAATTCTTCCTGTATCAGTTCTGAAGGAGAAGGCACTGTTTTGGAGTACTGCAAGTGCCTGCCAAAGGAGAGACTGGGGAGCAATGTTTCTTCACCACACATGCACTCCCCTTACTTCCGCCTCTGCTGGGAAGGGACATGCCAACTCCTCTCTGGCAGCAGTGCTGTCCAACAATTAGAATTGGACCTGGATCAACAGAGACTAAAGGAGAAGTTTTAGAGCATCAGAATGTACTGGTCAAAGTTAGAACACAGCCAGGGCAGCAGGGTTGACACTTGCTCTCACAAATTTGGCCATAGGGTCTTTAATGGGTGTGAGAAGTTCAGGGCCTTGGCTTTCTCTGTCTTTTGAAAGATGGGTGCCTCTGTCAGCACTGCATTACCTAGAAACATGGTGGGACATTGCTAAAGTACTAGCATAGGTCACCTGCTGAGCTCCTGGCACTGCTTCTGCTGCATCTGGTTTTTCTGGCCAAGAATATTTGAAGATCTGAAGATTTTCTAGCCAAGAACTGGTCAGACACAGACCTGCTTAAGTTATGAGCATGTCACAAGCCAGAAGGCCAGGGTTATGCTCTCTAACTCTAACTATGCTCTTAACAAGGAACAGAAGCATCTGGCTCTCATCCCTAATTCTCACTGGGCTTGTCAACACGTGACCCTTTTAAGCAGGATTAGCCTAAAATTGCCACTTTTAAGGTGCATTGAGGTCTCCACTGCTGTTATGGGGACTTCTTTCTGGCAATGTTATGGCCAGATTCAATGTGTGAATCTGAGACATGGTTCTTCATCAAAGGGAAAGGGCAGCCTTTCCTTTCTCTGATTCCATAGCATTCCTGGGAACTGACAACTTCCCCCAAAGTCACCAGGATCTCAGGACTGAAAAGGCATGGGATGCTAGGGACCAGAACTGAGGTCTCCAGGCACTGGCATACCTGGATGAATGGAGGCTCCCCAGAACTGGAATAGGAGACCAGTATGAAGGTACCCCAGGAAAAGTTTCAGATGATGCTTAGCACATGTTTAGCAGGAAAGGTTGGCATGCGTTGCCAGAGCTGTGTGCGCTGAGCTTGATATCCATAAGAGGAGATGCTGCAAGACAGGATTCATGTGCATTGACTGAGATGTGTAGTGAGATTCCCATTGCTGGAACAGCAGCAAGTGCAGCTGGTTTGGTATCCAACAGCTGTGCAGGTGGTGCTCATAACTATATTCCCTGTCCATGAGGATAAGCCTCTTCCTGCTCAGCTTGGACTTCGTCTGGTTTTCTGGCTCCTGTTGGTTTGGCTTCTCCTTCAAGCATTATGTCTTGCTAGGGGGTAGCCTTAAAGTCTCAGTTGAGGGTCCTGAACCATTTCCAGCCTTCAACCTACTTGCAGTAATTAAGAGAAACATCATTATCCCCTCTCCCACCCGCAGCCAGTGTTTACAGGACACAAGAGCAGCAGGGGGCGGAACAATGAGCTGTCTGTGGAAGGCCTGAAAGGCGTAGAATCCTAGCATTACATCCATTCCTGCCCTATGACCCAGCACATTCTTGCCTCCCTAACCCCATCATTCCCAGACAAGGCTAGTCCACTCACACATCTTATCCCAAGAGGTCTGGGGTCTTCAGAGATAGGTGAAATGACAAAAAACATGCTGTACTTCTATGCATCTACAGAATTGCCTCTCTGCTTGCTACATTAGTGAGATGGCAGGTTTCTAATAATTGACGGAATAATTATAACAAACAGAAGAACAATCTGGTGAAAAACTTCAAATGTTTTCTGCTTCCTAGGAGTCAAAATGGAACAATTTTGCAGTTTTGCAAAAATTTTCTTTTTTAGCAAAAATTATTTTAACATTTCAAAAAATTGTTGATATTTCATTGTCACCTTTCTCCTGCTCCTTTTTAAAAATCATATCAAATAAAATGAATTATGCCCATGGCAATTTAATGTGTGTGTGGGGGGGGGGGAAAGGGGTTGTCCCCCTTCTTTTCCTTTGCTGCTTTATAACATTTCCTCCACTTTGGACAAGTTGAAGAGTAGCAGAGTTACAAAATTTCATTTTGCTGTAACTTACAAAGTGGAGGAAATTGGAAAAGCTATGAAGTGGTAAGAAAAAAAATGGAAATGGTGGGGGAAAACTCCCAGACACTATTCATTCTAGTGCACTTACTGGCAAACAGGAGGAAAGGGAAAGTCAAAAATGGAGTCCCTGAAAATCTGTTAACACAAAAGATGCTTGGGTCCTTCTCCTCCTCCTCCCTACTTTTTGTGACTTCAGTCTTAGGGTTAGAATGATATAACATGTGGAGGAAGGGTCAACTAGGATTGCACTCAGGTGCTTCAATCCACTTAAGCATCAAGTAGGTAGAATAGGATCTGGCCCTAAAAGTTAGATAGGCCTTGATATTTGAATTTACAGTAAACTACCACTTGAAAAAGGTGGCCACAGATAAAAAAGTACTACTATAAATCACTGGCTTTCTCTTAGAATCATAGAAATTCAGAATCAGAAAAGACTTGTCGATGGTCTAGGATTATTCCTAAAACTATGTCGTCTTCTCTGGTATTTTATCCAGTTTAGTTACAAGTATTCCAGATGTCCGGCTTACTCCTCCTCCCCTTAGAAGAATCTTCTTTAGTTGGACAGATCCCACTGTGAGGAAACATGTCCTGCTATTCAGCTAGCATTTCCCTTTTGCTTAATTATGACAAGGTGCTGAAACCAGTAAGATAGCGAACTATCCTGCTTTGAATATATATATCTACAGACTAGTCCTTGCAGGGGCAGGTCTAGGATTTGGCAAAGTGCAATGCAGCAGCAGCAACTGTGTGGCATGGGTGGTGACACCCGCTACTCTCAGCCTGTTCTCATCACCTACCTACCAGCGTGAGCAGACTGTGCATTGGAGTCTCTGGGTCTTTTTTAAAGTCCCAAAAGCAGGTGAGAATTCCCCATCTTCCCCTCCATGCTAAAAAGTGTGTCTCATCCCCGACCCTGCTCCCCTGCCTGCTGCTTCTCCTTTCCCTGCTGTCCCAGGACTCAGGAAGCTTCAGAGCTGCTCCTGCCTGCTCCAGCTAGGCTGCAAGGGAGCTGGGCTTAGCTGAGACAGTAGCAACAGTGATGGAGCAGGCCCCTCTGACCCAGCCTGGTCCCCACAAGAAGATGCATGGAGGGGGAATTCTCCACCCATTGCTGCTGTTGTCTTCCCAGCTGAGCCCAGCCCTCATGCAGTGGCTCTGAAGTTTCCCCCACCCTGGGGGCAGCAGGGCAAGCAGCAGCAACAGCAGACAAAGGAGTGGGGAAGGGA